GCTCTATCATGGGCATTGGGCAAGGACTCTGCGAGCACCCCCGTCTCCTCCATCTTCGACGGCACTCCAGTCAGAAAGCTGTCCCCAACCGAGTTTCCCAGCAGCATGGGCCACATGAAACCGAACAGCGCCGAGCCGCTCGACGCTGAGGACCAGGCGAGAGTAACAGTGAAAAGGTGAAACGCTCGAAACGGCGCGCGCCGCCGGCCGAGGGCGCCGAGCCGGCCCAGGCCGGCTGCGGGTCAAACAGAAGCCGTCTCCGCGGCGGCCGCCCAGTGACAGCGACTCGGACTGACGTCGAGGCACCGCTGCCGCCTCCGCCGACCAACCCGCCGCCCAGCAAGGGCAGTTTGAAGGCGGCTGCGCCGGTGAAGGTGGCGCGGCCTGGCAGGGGCCGCGGCCGGCCCACTCCCAGCTACCCGTCCCGCGAGGTGCTCAGTACCACCGACTCGTCCGATTCTGAGGCAGCGCCGTCGGCGGGCCGCCGCCAGCAGTGACGACGACCGGCTGGCGGCGTTCGCGCGGGACTTGTCCGACTCCTGGTACTCGGACTTGCCGCCCAAACTGGACGCCGGCGGCGTGAGCACCAGCAACGCCAATAAAAAGTCCACCTTCATCCGGCTCTTCTCGCACCGTGTCAAAAGGACTACGCCGCGCGGCCGGCCGGCCAACTCGAATGAGCGCAGCGAAGGGCACACGTCCCCGACGGCGGCACTGGCGCCTCCCGCCGCGCCGCTGCCGGCGTTGCTGGCAACGCCGATCCAGGCCCATCGATTTCTACTGTTTTGTTGCCTACGTGCCGCTGCCGCCGCTCAGCCAGCACAATGGCGTGCCGGTGTTGCGCTGTCGGATCGAAAAGCGGCTCGTGCAGCGGACGGACGGGTGCGGCCCGCGCGATGAGCCGCCGCCGCACACCGAGCTGCGCCGCGCGGACGTGAAGGTGGAGCTGGCAGCGGCCTGCTCAGTCCCCTCAACGGCGTCGACCGGCTCTCCGGCGATTTGCGGTCAGAAACGCCGCCGCTTCTGGGACCAAGGTGTCAGAGCGCGGCGCTGCCCGTGAGACGTTAAGTTAGCACAGGCAATGTCGTCTGCACTCCTTGCAGTTCATGTTGAATACACAACCATGTTGCGAAGTAATAGGCGCCGGGTTTTTCAGTTCATAGAACTTTTTCCCTGGCTATTACACCCCACAACCGAACACAGACACCTTGCACAAGTATGACTGTGTGTATGAATGTTAATAAATACATGAACCAATGTTGTGTTTTCGGTTCCAGTACCTTCTTTGGGCACCTCGGCAACAAGTAAGTAATCCGTTAGCTTTGCCACACCTAAGATAGGCTCCCACGTTGTTATTTGCTCCCGGGTTAACATAAACCGGTTTAACGTAACTTTTGCATCCCGGCCAAAATTGCCGGTTAACTGTCCCACCGCTCGAGACTGGCGCTAGGCTGGCCGAGCAAAAAAAAAGTTTGTCCGCGGCTTCGTCTTATTCGCAGCTGCTGGACACGGGGGAGGGGGGGGGAGGAGGGGCTGCATCGGACGAAAAGCGGGCTCTGGTATTAACTGGATTTTTTTTGCCAGCTGGCGCCGTATGGTGGCGCTAGCAGAGCTTCTTACATATCAATGCTAGATATAAAAGAATGAATATTTACCAATCAATTTTTCATTTAAAGCAATTTGAAATATTTATGTCCATCCTACTACCGCGCTTAGGTATATCTAAAATTAAATACCTTTCGTGCGTCGCCAGCTGGCCAGCCAGCTGACGCAATCCAGCTTTTACCAAAGCCCCGAAAAGCGATGACGTGAGCCCTAATATTGGCTTCACCACACAATTTGAGCCCTCAAACTGGAATCAGGTGAGCTCGAAAATGGGGATCAGGCTGAAAACTGGTATCATAGTGAGACTAGTTTTAGAGCTTGACACCGATAATGGGTACTGACTGAGCTCTGTTTCTGCGATCAATGATACCGATTTAAGGGATCGTATGAGCCCATGTGGCGCTAGCTCAGAAAGTATTCTCGAAATGTGCTGTCTGTTTTGAATATGGTACATTAGCCCGAAAACTGGTCTCTGAGCCCGAAAATCGGGACACTGTTTTCTCAGTGTGGTGTGCGCAGTGTGTGCGCAATTCAACGAAACTGACAGCGTCATGGGACCTCAGCTAATGGTGATGTATATTTTTTTTATGTAACTCCATTTCTCCTTATGCATTTTGTGGGTTTGCGTGTGCTATTTGACATTGTTAAATAGCATGTCATTTATTATTTCGACGCGAAGCGAGCCAAGATACGAGTATCTTGTTACGCATTATTTTACCTCTGATCTTTAGTTATTTTGTGCTATACCACTATCACCATGCCTTGGAATGCTAATTTGTATGATGAGGGTAAATGTTCAATCCTGTTATGTTCTGCATTCCTCAGCGGACAGTTTGTCTCTCATTTCGGTCTCAGGGACCTGCAGTTGGTCGTGTGGCATTGCCGACTGTCTTGCTGGCGTGTCTCGGACCAATGACTGGCGTATCCCGGACCAGTAAGACCGACCACACACGTCCAGCCACCCTCCGACGCCCGTGACCGCCGCCTCCGAGTGTAACCTGCGAGCACAGGTCGGCCGTCTCAGACCGCGGCACCACTGCGCGGCCAAATTCCGCGCTTTTGATGGCCACTCTGATTGCCAGGCACGTCTGCAGTTGCATGCAACGTCTGTGCCGTCGTCAATGACAATATGTCACGAGACGTCAAAGAGGCCTGACGTCACTCCGTGTTTGGGAAACGGCACTAAAATGACGAGAATTCGGAGTGGACGTGCGACGCAGGCGAGCCGGTGGCTATGTATGTAGTAAGCAATATATGTACGTGCTTGCGTGTGCTATTTTTAACATCTGGCTGTCACACAGTTACTTTGTCACACAGTTTATTTTGTCTTTGGTAAAATGCATCGACGATACCGTCCATCAATCACTACATCTATCACCTTTGCATTAGTTTACAGCCATTGCAAACGTTATGAATATCGAACAATGGTCAGTGGCTCGTCTTCTTGTAAAGCTGCGCATCTGTTATCTGCCCAGCTATGCAATGACAGCAATCGGCACAGCTGCCGGTGCTCGCACAGGCGAAACAGCTTCCGTTGTCAGATAGGTGCACTGTCAGCAAGTGGGTTACCGACTGAAGAGCTTTGGTGGCCGATCGGTGCACCATAACGCCGTGATGGAAAAATCCTCCCCGAGGCGGCGGCTTCATTCAGGCTCTCAGCGCCACTTAGCAACAGCGTCGGCTGGTGAGCTCTGTTTTGATAGTGTTTATAATACACCCACAATAGCTTCGTGGCACGCTGCACTGGTCCCGAGTATCGGAGTTTATGACAGTGTCACACCTCCCCTGCAGAGAGAAATCTTGAAATGCCTTGTCACTTTCGTGAAGGTCAGTTTCATTGAAGTTCACAGGTTGTTCGTCCTAGGTAGGTACTGATATCAGTTCCTCCGGATTTCGGATGCAACGATCAGAATTCCGCTGCCAGATATCAGCGATTCAAATATGTAATAAAATTCACGCAATATGTCTAAATAATCGGTAAATCAGCTCACCTGCTGCACAGCAGTAAAACGTAGGCACCTGTTTTGATCCATAAGTATGTATGAAACCTGGAGCCTTATTTGGTCTAATGTGGTAAATGAGCGATTGAGAATACTCAACGCTGCCATCACAGGTAGGAATTTCGAGAGCCCTGTCGTGCAATGCATTAGGTAGTTTGTACCTTTTGACCCATATGTAGGTACCGCCGCTGTTTCTCAGTGAGCTCCGTCCCGACCTGCGGAACATATTGCATGAACGTGTTGTGAGCAAGGCCGTGTCTGGCACCCAGCTACACAAAAAACACTTATTGACTCAAGGAATGCAAGCGGAAGTCTCGTGCCCCAGTACCGGAGAGTTGAGCCGTTTCAAAGGTTCGGTATGCTTGCAATGCAACTGAGCATTAAACCTGCATTTTCTTGGGGCATTCAATGTTGTATTTTTGAGATACTATGTAGTGCTTTAAAAACAATGTTGTTGGTTGATATGCCGTCGGAGCACATGCTACTTGACTTTGGACAGATAACTGGAGCACTTGACTGATGAAAAGTGTCGAGTTGGGCGTTTCGTAGAACTGTGGCCGCGGCGTGATAGTCACCCAATTATATGGTACACATTGAGAAAGCCTGGTGTCGCTCCCTCCCTGATGTAACCGGCTACACAAAGTGGAGACAACCGTCTTACTTTGGTGCAAACCACTTCAGTCCAGTGATAGCCGCCTCATACCGGTACAAACCGCTACAATCTGGACTGAGACTGACAGTGACTTATCTGAAATGTTTTGCAGATTGATCACTCTTCTTCCATTCTCTTCTTCTTATCCGCTCACGGCTCAACAGTCATCGCGGAAGAATCCAGATGAGAGAGGTGTTGCCATCCCCGAGAGAAGTGCCTGGATATTCCAGCACGTGTGGTCACAGCGGGGAATATCGACAGCGTATCCAAGATAACAACTGAACGGGGACTGTCCGGATATCCCAGCCAAATCCCAGCATACTCCGGTTCTACATGCAGCTTTCACAAAAACTCATGTTCAGATAGCATCTGCTGTCGAGACAGAAGTGCACAAAACAGCTGGTTCGCCCAGCGCCGTGCCTCAGTTGCAGGCGCCCGAGTCAGGAGGTCCTGGGGAGACCTCGGTCGGACTGGCGCACTGGCCTGCTGGGCTCATAGGGCGCTCGAGATTGACTTACACCACTCACGTATTCCGCAAACGGGCCCCGTCAGAAACGTTTGTGGAACGTGCCGGCCGTCTACGCTGATACGGGAATGCGGTTGGTTGGTCACTGGTCAGTTAGCTTTATACCGTGACCAACTAAGATAGCTTTCCAATCGCCTTTTTACGTAATTTATCCGGCGCAGCAGGACGCACACGAGTTCCTCCTATGCCTCTTGAACTCTTTGCACGAGGAGCTGACCGACGTATCCCGAAAACAAATGCTCAGAGAGCAGGGTAATGACGGTGTCCCAGACTCCCGTGCCATCAAGCTCCTCCAGGACGACTCCCAGAGCAGCAGCCAGTCTCCGATCTCGAACCTGTTCGGGGGCCAGTACAAGTCCACGCTGCGCTGCGTCAGCTGCGGGAACCAGTCGGCGAAGTTTGAGGCATTTTCACACCTCTCCGTGCCGATGCCTGCCAGGGCCAGTCAGTGCTCGCTCCACGAGTGCATCCAGCTTTTTGTGGAGGGCGACACAATCAGCGGCTGGACTTGCCCGGAGTGTCAAAGCAGCGACGGGGCCACCAAGCGGCTTGACATCCGGCGTCTTCCACCAGTACTGATCATCCACATACAGCGCTTCTACAACGACGGCGCGTGGAAGAAGAATCAGTCCAGCGTCCTGTTTCCGCTAAAAAACCTGGACATGTCACCGCATTTGGCTACCGAGGATGCGCACCAACAGCACCACAGGTATCACCTGTGCGGTGTGGTGAACCATTACGGTTCCATGGACAGTGGCCACTACACAGCCTTCTGCCGCGCACCCAATACGGACAGATGGCACAAGTACGACGACCATCAGGTGCACGAACTGAGCGGGGGGAGCGTGCAAAGCTCGGCCGGATACTTGCTGTTTTACTCGGCCACCGACCAGCGGCTGTAGGCTCTGCCACTTCCGCCCGTAGCCGAGCGAACGTTCAGTTCGTCCTCCATTCTTGAGGACACTGTGAGTTTGTAACGTGACTGCAATGATTATGTTATGAAAATATATTTGTGTGAACTTTAAAAAAAAAAAAATATCCGGTTAAACTTCCCAATAAACTAATGATGATAGTTTCATCAACTTCTGTGTGTTATATGCAGATGCCACCAGTCACTGGACTGTAATCGCCACGCCCCGTGTGGATTGTCCATGAAGGTAATACAATACAATACAATACAGTCCCACACGCAAAAACACACATGGCCAGGGCAGCGACTCGGGCCGGCGTCGACAGTAGCCGTTAGAAGCCGAGGAGCCGCCGCGGCGGTCCCACACTCCCGGATTACCTCTCTGAGAAGGTGCCACACTCCTATCATCCTCTCATCGACGGACGTTGGGCGCCGGCGGCGGGCGGGGCCCTCCAACTGTCCACTTCTGACGGCGCCGACGGGCGACGACGCGGCGGCCGCTTCTGCGAACAATTAGCTCGTGGACGCGGCCGGTTGTCGGCGTGTATGCATGTCTCTGGCGATCAAAGGCGGTGGGATGACAGCTGTGGCGTCGGTCGCTCATAAAGCGTCAATCAGAGGACTATGGGTGGTCGGTGCCATAGTCGGTGCTATATGGCTGGTCTTCGAACGGCGGCGGACTGAGGCTGTCGGCCGTGCACAGTGATGCAAATGGGGTTCACGAGTGGCCATAAATACGAAAAAGGCCCAAAATTCAAGTTCATTTAATCGAATAAATCGTAATATGGTCAGTCAGGCAAATGTTTGGGGTGTCTGAAAAAGTATGATTTTAATGTTTTTGTCAAATCCGGCCTCGTGTAGGATTGTCAGAAGTCAGACATTTTCGATGTCGTAAAATGACTGTCAGATACTTGAAATTCAAGTGCCGCTAGCGTGCGTTCATGTCATGCAAACTGCAAAAATTATACATGAAAATGATCCCCGAAACCTGCTGCTTCTAATGCCACGTCATAAAAACCCGTATCTATTTTGGTTCGGCGGTGAGCTAACTATTTGTAATCATGTTGCAACCGCAGTTTTTTACCAAAAATATTTGCTTTCAATTCACCTACAGCACTTCATACAGTGTGTGCCCGTTAGTGCACCATATCATAGCATTTCCTAATCATTTCTGAGTCGCATCGTGAAAGAATGAAGGCGCTAGCACAGGGCTGACCGGCGCTACAGAAGTTTTCGTCCGGCACAGTCGGGTGCCGCGGCGCGCGGCCGCGCCGCCCGAACGCCGCGCGGCGGCACCCACCCGCCCACTGCGCGCCCACTGCGGCACCAGACCACCCGGACAAAAAGCTCTGTAGCGCCGGTCAGCCCTGTGCTAGCGCCTTAATTCTTTCACGATGCGACTCAGAAATGATTAGGGAAGGCTATGGTATGGTGGACTAATGGGCACACACTGTGTTAAGTGCTGTAGGTGAAACGAAAGCATTTTTTACTTAGTAAAAAACTGCGATTGCAACATGATGATAAATAGTCAGATTACCGCCAAAGCGAATGAGCTACGGCTTTTTGTAACCCGGCATTAGAAGGAGAAGGCTTTGGGGATCATTTCCATGCATAATTTTTTCAATTTGTACGAAATGACCGCAAACCAGCGGCGTTTGAACTTGCGAGTGTCTGACCGTCATTTTACGACCTAGAAAATGTCACGACTTCTGACGATTATACACGAGGCCGGTTTTGACAAAAACATGAAAACCATGTGATTTCAGATGCCCCAAACATTTGTCTACTCGGCCATATCGCAATTAACTCGATTTGGTAAACTTGACTTTTGGGTATTTATGGCCACTCGTGAACCCCATTTGCATCACTGTGCCGTGGTAGCGGTGCTGGTGGATGGCGATGTCGGATTGACTGATGGTAAAGATAGGAGATAGGATGGTCAATCATAAGATCATAGGCTCCACCGTCGAGATTCCTGTCTGTCTTGTGTCCAACGGAATAAACCGTAGCTGCTAATCCTTTCAGGGAGAAAGGGCCCGGCTTGACCGCGCCAAGTACCTCCTCATCATGCATTCTCTTCTGTTGGTCCCGTCTCTCGGGGTGGACTCGGGCCGTGAGAGCAGCGTGGCCGTGACCTCGCGTCACCGTGTTGTGACAGTGACGTCATGTCGGGGTGTTGTGACAGTGACGTGACTGGGTTGTGACAGTGACGTGACAGGGTGACATCTCAGGGGTGGCCGCCCGTCTCTGGCCACCGCGCATTTCCGCTGGACCCTGCTCGTGGGCTCGACTGTTTGGATTTGCCTAGGTCACGTGCACCGTAGGTATTTCCTGCATGTGTATTGACTGAGCAGTCAATACACATGCACGCGACACAGCACTGTGTCGCGCTTTGTGGTCAGAGGTGTGTGTATGCTGTCTGTTCAAATTCAGGAGATGGCACTTTGTGGTCATGGACTGGACACACATTGACGATGTGAGACAGAGAAACGCTTTCGATGTTTTATTAGAAACTGAAGGTGTTCTGGGAAGTTTCGCTGCTCTGCTGCGGGCTGTCTTGGAAAACGGTGCTCTGAGCTTCGAATACATTCAACTAAGTCTGCCTGCACCAACGGCCTCTCCCTTGTTTACGGTGTTTTCGATAGGATAATCCTAGAGAGACAAAGTGCCTTGGCCATTGCAGAGATTATCCATACATTATCCACCATTACAGGCTGTCAGTTATTATCAATGCACCTATACATAGGCAGCTAAGCTGTCTTGTGCAAAAATATACCAAACACCAAAACCACCGCTGGATGTTCATTCTATAATTCCTAGGGAAATTGAATGTCACATGAATGTCAAATGAATGGCATGTTTTAGGTACAAACCCGAAAATGTGATTTGGTCATAACACATTAACCGGTCATTCATTGGCAAAAGTGCTCGCCTCGCTGGATGTCCCTGCTATTTTGTAATATCCATGTAGTCTTTTGCAGTTCAGCGTTTGTTACTTTCATTGACAAATCGCCTCTCCTTATAAAAGCAAATGAAAAATGTCATCAAGGTATCTAAGTGGGTACCTACCTGCCTACCGACGTTTGCCTTTGTTGTCTCCATTGGGTAATCTGGTGGTCGTAATGCAGGAAAGAAAAGGAAAATATTCAGCCTAAACCAGTACAATGGCTGTGACAAAAGATTTCTAATTAGGATGACAGCAATTTGGATGTCTCCACACCCATAGCAGGCTTAGTGGATCATGGATCAAACAGTTTAGCAACCATTTTAGTAAGGCGGACCAGATGATTCCCTAAACCTAACTTTAATGTCCCATTCGTTTTTTTTTTCTCCAAAATACGAGCAAATCTCGCGTATGCTTCCGGTTCCACCCACACCCTCTCTTCACTGCCTGAGCCACTCACCCGTCCCTCACACCCCTCCCCCTCCCCCGGGGACGTGCGCAATGGTCGGTCACGTGCCCTTGCCCCCCCCCCCTGTAACGTCACAGCCGAGTATATCGCTCGGAACGGGAGCGCCTCGGCAGCCGCGACGATCGACACGGTGCAGAGGGCACATTCTCTGAATCGCCGCCTATCGGGTGGGTCGGCAGAGAGCGCATTGAGCCCGCCCGACAGCCCTGTCGTCGTCACGCCGAGCACAGGAGGAGGTGCAACGTGCCAGACCCCTGGCGTCACGGGACGGACTAGTCGCGTGCCCAGTCAGGAGGCATTGGGGGAAGAGGCGTTCTGAAGTGGGACTCCTGGCCGATTGAAGCGTTCGGAAGCAGTGGATTGATGTTTGCCGATCACTTGACCTATCGCATGCAAGTCTGTGTGCTTACCTGGAAGGTGGACAAGTTCGCCTAGATCAAACAACCTCGGCCGCTAGTCCAACCAGCTATCTTGCTTAAAATGACTCGCTTTTTCTTGAGCGGGTACGATAAGTCGTGCTTGCCAGTACGCATGACAACTGTGACGTGAAGTTCGTAGACTGTGTTCTATTAATACCACGGCTCTATCGGTTTGCAATTCCAGAAACTGCAGCCTATACGACTGGTGCTAAACCATGCCACACTCGGTAACACCTCCGCATTCTCGTGAAGTACGTCACCTGCATGGCGATGTAGGTTGCAATCGAACTTCTCACTCCGTCCCCCCTCTCCCTCCCCAAATGCTCCAGCTACTGCCGCCCGGTACCCGCCGTTCCCCGTGCCCGTAACACGGTTGACCATGTCGCGATACGAGCAGATCCGGCATGGTGAACCAACAGAGGTGACAGGGACCCACCCGGGGCGTGACGACCAAATCCGTCACCGCACACACACAGCGTGACAGGTATACGGCGCTAAATTCGGCCCCTATCGAAAGGCTTGACTCAAGATTAGCTTGACTGGTATCGGAGCAGCTATTTACGCATACAACGTTCACGGGAAAATCCCGGCCAACACCCCCACCGTGGCCTATCGCAACAGGGCAATTGGCAGCAGTTTACATATGCAATAGGGTGCGACAGGAAGGGTGCAATGCAGCGCATGTGTGTATTTTTCTTCTTTGACGAATTAAAATAGCGGACAGTGTGAACTGAACTATCCGCCATTTCTGCTCCTTTAAAGCGTTGTTCGTCGCCCTTTAATGCTATTGCTTATATGTTCACATTCCCAGATAAGATTGGAAAGTAATAATATTCCTGTCATTGAAATTAGGCCACAGCACTTGTCACTCGCTCCCCAACACTTCAACACCGTTTGCCACTTTTCATCTCTAGATTAAGTCCCACAACGACCGTCTTTGTCACAAGAATATTGTTTATACCGCGTCATCACACACCTGATTGCACGAGAGACAGAGCGGCAGTAAGTTAGTCGCTCCGATGAGTGTCAAGGTCACACCACGGGTCCCTCGCGCCGTCCGACGCCGGCGACCAATCACAGGCCAGGGATAGACTGACCCAACCTGGGTCATTGCGCACCCCGCTCGCGACCAGCGCTTCCCTCGGTGGAAGTGGCCGGTG